CCGGTCCCGGTCCCGTACGGGCACGACACTGAGGGTTGCGATCTGTTGCCGGTCACGAAAAAAGACAAAAAGGAAAAAAAAAAGGTAATCTTTCCATGAACTTTTTTTTTTTTTAAGATGACCAGTAAGGGGATCTTAACCCTTGACTTGGTGGTGTCAGCACCACGCTCTCCCAAGTGAGCTAACCGGCCATCCCCATGTAGGGATCCAAACCTGCGGCCTTGGTGTTATCAGCACCACACTCTCCCAAGTGAGCTAACCGGCCATCCCCACGTAGGGATCCAAACCTGCGGCCTTGGTGTTATCAGCACCACACTCTCCCAAGTGAGCCATGGGCCAGCCCTTTTCCATGAACTTTTTGAAGATCCTTCATATATCCTTCTATGGTTCATTCTAGAATTTTTATGTTTGGATCTTTAGTTTATCCTGGATTTTATATTTTATTTTTAAGTATAAAATTACATATTTACAGTGAAAAAAAAAAGGATTAATACAAGGGTACTTCAAAAAGATCATGGAAAGATAGAATTAAAAGATAATAACGGCTGGCCAGTTAGCTCAGTTGGTTAGAGTGTGATGCTGATAACATAAGGTCCAGGGTTAGACCCCTGTACTGGTCAGCTTCCAAAATAAATAAATAAATCTCTCTATCCACCTATCTATCTTTTCCATGAACTTTTTGAAGTACCCTCAAATAGGAAAAGCCTAAAGAATAAAATATATATTCAGAGTTGAGTCCATTTTTTAAAAAAGATCACACTGTACAAGTTGCTTTTTAACCTGTTTTTTGTACTTACTGGATGTTAAACATCTTTTTTTGTGTCACTAAGTATCTGTGTAAAGAAAGCATCATTAAGCTTTATTTCAACAATATCGCTTCTAATGACTGTTTAGTGTTCCATTTTTATATTAGTGTGCTTATCTGTTTTTTGGGTTTTTTTTTATAAAAGATGACCAGTAAGGGGATCTTAACCCTTGACTTGGTGTTGTCAGCACCACACTCTCCCAAGTGAGCGAGCTAACCGGCCATCCCTATATAGGGATCCGAACCCATGGCCTTGGTGTTATCAGCACCGCACTCTCCCAAGTGAGCCACAGGCTGGCCCCTAGTGTGCTTATCTTTTTCTTACTGATTGCAAGATCTGTTTGTATATTGACCACTTTGTGGTATATATGCATTACAAATATATTTTCCAAGCTTGTTAGTTCCCTTTAAATTTTGTTTATGGTGTTGTTGCTATTCAGAAACTTTAAATTGATTTAAAGCCAAACCATTGACCTTTTCCTTAATGATTTATGACTTTAAGGATCACATTTGAATGTCCTTCCCTAGCCAGAGATCACATATTCATTTGTATTTTTGTTATTGCTGTCATCACAGTTTTATAGTTTTATTTTCTTGCATTTCAGTCTTTAATTTATTTGGAATTTACTCTGGTGTGAGGTTTGTGCCTGGGAATCTAACTTAATTTTTTGTGTGGTCGGGTAGAGTTCTGGGGCCAGTTTCACCATGAAGACTTATCTGTGACTCTCTCTGTACTCTCCTATCCCTGGCAGGCCTTGGAGACCCGGGCCAGTCCTGGCCACACTCCAGGCTGTGTCACTTTTGTCCTGAATGACCACAGCGTGGCCTTCACTGGAGATGCCCTGCTGATCCGAGGATGTGGGCGGACAGACTTCCAGCAAGGTGACCAGCTCCTTCATCCAGCCCAAATCTCATATAGTTATGTGTGTGCCAGGGTTTTAAGTATCTGTTACAAGAATGAATGAATGGATGTTAGATTTGGGGGCAGGGGGCAGTATTAGATTCAAAAAGTTCAGCTGTTTGAGTATGGGAAAAGTTAGATTCAGGAGTTAGCTTCTGGGGAACAGTTAGATCAGGGGTGTGTCAGTTATCTATTGCTGTGTAACAAAGTACCTCAAAACCTAGTGGCTTAAAGCAATGATTAACATTTATTATCTCACATAGTTTCTGAGAGTCAGGAATTAAGGAGCAGCTTATCTGAGTAGTTCTGGCTCAGGGTCTCATGAAGTTACTGTCAAGCTGTTAGTCAGGGCTACAGTCATCCGAAGGCTCAACTGGGGCTGGTGGATCCAAAGTAGCTCACTTCCAAAGTGGCTCACTTGCATGGCTGGGAAGTTACTGCTGGTGTTGGCAGGAGGCCTCACTTCCTTACCACATGGACCTCTCCATAGGAATGCCTGAGTTTCTTCATGACATGGCAGCTGGATTCTCCCAGATGGAATGATCAGAGAGAGACAGACAAACAGAAGCCCTAATTTTTTTAAAGACCTAGCCTCGGAAGTTATACTCTGTCATTTTTGCAGTATCCTATATCCTATTTATTAGATGCAAGTCACTTAGTCCAGACCACTAAGACAATATGAGGAGAATTAAGAGTCAAATTTTGGAGAGAAGGGCATCAAAGAATTTGCGGACATATTTTAAAACCACCATAAGGGATTTAGCTGCTGGAGGTGTGTGTGGTGGGGGTCCTCAGTGGGGCATGGGGGTCTGCCTGTGCCCCTTAAGGTGCACCCTTAGTTTCAGGAGTTTAGTTGCTAGGGGCAGGTGGATTCAGGGATTTAGCTGCTAGGAGGTTGTTAGAGGCAGTGGTCTAATTGCTAGAGGGCAGTGTTACATTTGGGTTGAGCTGCTGGAGGCAGTTATATTTAGGGGTCTTCCTGTGAAAGGGAGTTTAGTTTCAGAATCTAGGCTCTGGCTGCCCTTTGAGTATGTGTATGAATGTGGGGATGACACTAGATTCAGAGGGTTTAGCTGCCTTGCCAGGATAGGTGAGGCCAGATGTGAGAGAAGACAGAAGTTCACTGAGGTGCAGTGGGAATCCACATCCTCAGGCTGCCTCTTACTACCTCTTCCCTCTCTCCTTATCTCTCCATCTTAGTCTCTGTCTTTTTCTCTCTGAGGCTCCCAATCTCCCACTTATCCATTCCCATTACAGCACAGCCATAAAATGGAAGAATTTAGGCTGAAATGGAAGATGGAAAAAAGTTCCAGAGAGGTTTTCCCCATCCCCAAATTAGGATTGAGTGCTTCTTGTCAGAACTATGGCTGCACTCCCCTCCTTGTCCTCATGACTTCGGTTTCTTACCTTCTAGTTCACCTTCTTTGCCCAGAACCCTATTGTGGTACCCCCAGGGTGTTCCCCATCCCCAAATTAGGATTGAGTGCTTCTTGTCAGAACTATGGCTGCACTCCCCTCCTAGTCCTCATGACTTCGGTTTCTTACCTTCTAGTTCACCTTCTTTGCCCAGAACCCTATTGTGGTACCCCCAGGGTGACAACACAACTCCCTGGTGCTTCAGGATCTCATCCCAACCTTATTTACAGTCACACCGAATTTCTCATCATTTCTCAATTCTTTGTATATGCTGTTCTGCCTAACTAGAATGCCCTTCCCTTTCCTTCTCTCTCTAGACAAAGGAGTATTGGTAGGAGATGAAGGAGTGGGTTTAGCTACAGTGATTTTACCTTCCCACCCTTTTCCTGAGGGTTAGGGGGTTTCTCCTGTCCTGTCAATCCACTGACCTCTGACATTTCCTTTCCCAGGCTGTGCTAAGACGTTGTACCACTCAGTCCACAAAAAGATCTTTACACTTCCAGGCGACTGTCTGATCTACCCTGCTCATGATTACCATGGTGAGGGCTCCCTGGAGGAGGTGTGGGACTTACATAACTTTTTTTTTTTAAAAGATGACCAGTAAGGGGATCTCAACCCTTGGCTTGGTGTTGTCGGCACCATGCTCTCCCAAGTGAGCGAGGACTTACATAACTTTTGAGAGGGGCTAGTAAACTCCTATAGTCTTCATAGGGCATGGAGACTACAAACCCCAGAAATTCCTCTTGCCAGAAAGATTAAGTGCTGTGCGTGGATGTACAAAGTATATGACTCCTGTTTCGCAGGGCATGGGTTTTTCTGGTACTTCTTTGAAGATCTTAGGGAACTAAGGGAAACTACATTCCCCATACTGTCCATCAAGGAAGGAAAGCAATCTGGAAAGAGCCGATTAGTCCCAGGCTAGAGAGGTGCCCCAAGCCCTCCTGGGAACTGCAGTTCTGAGAGGCCTGAGACACTGAACCAGCATAATTTCTTCCCCCTCTCTTGGTCACTAGGGCTCACAGTGTCCACTGTGGAGGAGGAGCGGACTCTGAACCCTCGGCTCACCCTCAGCTGTGAGGAGTTTGTCAAGGTCATGGACAACCTGAACTTACCCAAACCCCAACAGATAGGTGAGCAGCTAGGGTCAGGACTCCTGTTTCTAAGGGAGGAGGGGGCTGGAAGCTTGGATTCCTAGGTCTGAGGGAGGAGAGGCTGGGGCCCTGGACACCTGTGTCTGAGGGAGGAGGAGCTCAGGGCCAGAACTCTAGTTTCCCAAAGAAGAGGGGCTCCTAGGATTTCTGGGTCCTCAGTGGGGCATGGGGGTCTGCCTGTGGCGCTTAGTTTCACCCTTAGTTTCTTCCTTTCAGACTTTGCTGTTCCAGCCAACATGCGCTGTGGGGTCCAGAACCCCCCTTCCTGACCTCACCTCTGGCAGGTGCTCATATCCATTAAGAATGCACTAGGTGGGGTGAGGGGAGAAGTGTCAGCACCCCACCTCTCTTGTCTCTCCCCCTCACCACCACCCCAACCCCTTGAGCTTCTTAAATAAAACTTTTTTTGCCATGAATCTGACTTCTGCCTGTTTTCTGGGGGAAGCAGATGGTTTCTGGGCTGAGATGCTAGTGGTTACCTCTCCTCTGACCCCCTGGAGAGGGCAGGGAGCAGGGCAGAGCGAAGGTCCAAGGAGCCCAGAAGGAGGAAGTGTCTAACTCACAAGATCAGAAGCAAACAGATATCTGGGGCAGATCCTCTCATGGCCTTGGATTATAACACAGTCTTGCACTTGAGCCACTTCCCAATGTCACTTCTCCAGGCTTCAGTTCCTTCACCTGTAAAGTGGAAATAATAATAATAATAATAGGGTGTTGTGATGATCTGATGAGTTCGTGTGTATGAGTGCTTGTCGCACTGCCTGTGTGGCAGCCTCCCTATCAGTGTTCATTTTATTGTTAATATCATGTGGAATGATCTTTCAGACACTTCCTGGCTTGGAGTGACAGTATACATAATGGTTAAGAACTGGATTTTTGAGAGAGTGAAGCTGGTGTTAACATTTACATGTGTAGATCTTGAGTACATTTGTCCCCCTTAGCCCCAGCTTCCCCAAGTATAAAATGGGTTGGTGGGTTGCTGTGAGGATGAAATTAAACCAGTGTGTACAAAGTGTTTAGCACAGCTCTTAACATCTCTGATAATCCCTTTTCACATGCCAGTCACTTTCCTGTTTTGCCCAGAGAGGAAAGGGTCATTTAACATCTGCCCTCCACCTCATAGCAAAGGGGTGGGGGTGGGGGGGACACTTCCTTCTGTCTCTGGGCGGGTCTCTGACTCAGCTCACGGCACCCCCTCCCCTTGTCCAGCTCCCCAGACCTGTCGGGGCCCTTATAAAGGGCTCATTAGAAGCGAGAGGCCCCCTTCTCCATTCATGTCTTCCTTTCAGGACTTTCAGGGTCTGGGCATTAGGGAGGCGCGTATACAGGTCCTCCAGGGGACAGGAATGGGGGCCCAGGGGGCAGAGTGGGAGGTCGTGATGCTGCGTTATCCGAGGGTGGGGCCGGGATGGCTGCATGCCGGGCCGCGGGCGGGGCAAACTGGTCGCTCTCTCCTCCCTCGAGAGCTGTCGGACCTGTTGTCCCCCCCTCCACTTCCGGGCTGCTGGGGAGGGGGACGGGGCGGCCTCTCTCTCCTCCCTCTTCCCCTCCACCTGTCTCTAGGCAGAAGCGACAGTGCCCAGAGCGCAGAGCGGAGCGCGCCGAAGCCTGAGCTGGTGAGGGGGCCGGGGCTGCGGGGGAGGAGAGGGCTGGAGTTTGGGAATCTTGTAACCGGGAGGAGCAGAGAACTCAGACTCCTAGCTTGTCCGGAGAGAAAGAGACCGGGAGCCCAGACTCCTGGATCCCTGGGTCAGGCGGCATGGGCGCTGCTCCCCTACAAGTGGGGTCGGGCGCAAGACTACTGGGCTCCTGGAGGAGGGTACGGGAGCTGGACTCCTGGTTCGGGGAGGGAGAAGGAGATGGGGTCGCTCTAAGCTAGTCGAAGAGACTGTGGGGGCTGGGTCGCTAGAAGGGTACAAGGCCTGACACCTGGATAGGAAGGAGAGGAGGGTCGGAGAGGCCAATAGGAGGCGTGCTAGGACCCGAGGCCCAAATTCCGGTCCCGCCTCCGGGGGCGTGTCATCCTAGGAGCAATCAAACCCATCCCAACTTCGGACTCCGCCCCTGGAGGCTTCAGGCCACGCCCTGGAATGCTCAGTTCCACCCTTTGAACTCTTAGGCCCCGCCTCCTGGGGCCCGCCTCAAGCTCCGGAGCAGGCCGGTGCGCCGCCCAGAACCCCGAGGCCCCGCCCTCGCGCCGCCAGGCTCCGCCCCCGGAGCCCCGGGCCCCGCCCACCCCGCAGGAGTCCGAAGCGGCCATGGGGTCGCGGAGCAGCCCGGAGGAGGGGATCCCGCCGCCGTCGGGCCCGGAGTATGACGCGGAGGTCCGGCCCCAAGAGGCAGCCCGGCCCCACGACCACCCCGAAGGTCCCCGCGAACAGGTGGCTCCCGAGGCGCCGACGGAGCTTCCGAGCGGCCGAGGAGCTGAGCAGCAGGCGGAGGAAGAGGAAGAAGTGGGAGAAGGCAGCAGCACCGAGAGCAGCCGCGACGCGGTGAGGGGCCCAGAGGCGACAGCCGTGGGGAGACCCAGACAGACACAGGGCAGGTGATAGGACGCAGAGAGACGGGTATAGAGAAACCAAATAGACAGTGACCCGGAGACAGGGAGAGACCCAGAGCTCGGGAGAGACCACTGGAGACAGAGACCCAGAACTAGGGAGAGACCACTGGGAGGCAGAGACCCAGAACTCGGGAGAGACCACTGGGAGACAGAGACCCAGAACTCGGGAGAGACCACTGGGAGACAGAGACCCAGAAACACGGAGGCTGGNAAGAGGAAGAAGTGGGAGAAGGCAGCAGCACCGAGAGCAGCCGCGACGCGGTGAGGGGCCCAGAGGCGACAGCCGTGGGGAGACCCAGACAGACACAGGGCAGGTGATAGGACGCAGAGAGACGGGTATAGAGAAACCAAATAGACAGTGACCCGGAGACAGGGAGAGACCCAGAGCTCGGGAGAGACCACTGGAGACAGAGACCCAGAACTAGGGAGAGACCACTGGGAGGCAGAGACCCAGAACTCGGGAGAGACCACTGGGAGGCAGAGACCCAGAACTCGGGAGAGACCACTGGGAGGCAGAGACCCAGAACTCGGGAGAGACCACTGGGAGGCAGAGACCCAGAACTCGGGAGAGACCACTGGGAGGCAGAGACCCAGAACTCGGGAGAGACCACTGGGAGGCAGAGACCCAGAACTCGGGAGAGACCACTGGGAGGCAGAGACCCAGAACTCGGGAGAGACCACTGGGAGGCAGAGACCCAGAACTCGGGAGAGACCACTGGGAGGCAGAGACCCAGAACTCGGGAGAGACCACTGGGAGGCAGAGACCCAGAACTCGGGAGAGACCACTGGGAGGCAGAGACCCAGAACTCGGGAGAGACCACTGGGAGGCAGAGACCCAGAACTCGGGAGAGACCACTGGGAGGCAGAGACCCAGAACTCGGGAGAGACCACTGGGAGACAGAGACCCAGAACTCGGGAGAGACCACTGGGAGACAGAGACCCAGAACTAGGGAGAGACCACTGGGAGACAGAGACCCAGAAACACGGAGGCTGGGATGTAAAGACCCAGGAGAGACAGAGACTCAGACCGAGGGAGATGGAGACACTGAGGGTGGAGACGCTGAGAGGAGCAGAAACAGAGACACAGAAATCCTGAGAGAGGGAGATAGGCCAATGGAGAAGGAGCTAGCGATTCAGAAACGAAAGACGGATACGGAGTGGGAGAGACGAAGCCCAGAGAAACAGGATAAGAGACTCAGATTCGGGGAGAGAGAAAGGCACAGAGAGGAGGAGAAAGTGACCTCACCAGAAGGGGACCCAGAGAGAGAAAAAGAAACACCTTCCACGAGTCGGTTCCCTGCCCCGTCCCAGAGACCCAGAACTCGGGAGAGACCACTGGGAGACAGAGACCCAGAACTCGGGAGAGACCACTGGGAGACAGAGACCCAGAACTCGGGAGAGACCACTGGGAGGCAGAGACCCAGAACTCGGGAGAGACCACTGGGAGACAGAGACCCAGAAACACGGAGGCTGGGATGCAAAGACCCAGGAGAGACAGAGACTCAGACCGAGGGAGATGGAGACACTGAGGGTGGAGACGCTGAGAGGAGCAGAAACAGAGACACAGAAATCCTGAGAGAGGGAGATAGGCCAAGGGAGAAGGAGCTAGCGATTCAGAAACGAAAGACGGATATGGAGTGGGAGAGACGAAGCCCAGAGAAACAGGATAAGAGACTCAGATTCGGGGAGAGGGAAAGGCACAGAGACGAGGAGAAAGTGACCTCACCAGAAGGGGACCCAGAGAGAGAAAGAGAAACACCTTCCACGAGTCGGTTCCCTGCCCCGTCCCCGGACTGCGAGCTCCTGGGTTCTGGTGGTCACCGGCCCTGCGCCCGCCCCCCATTCCGACTTTAAGTGAAGAAGCTTGAGACGTATACTGGGCATGGTGGTTGGGGTAGGCCGACCAACCCGGAGGGGGGTGTGGGGTGGGGACCGGACCTATTTAGTGACAGCAGGGGGCGAGGCCTCTCCTCTTGACCGCCCTCTCCACCTTCAGGCCGATGCCGCGGCTCCCGTGCTGATCCCGGCCACACCCTCCCCATCCACCCCTTCTAGGGAAGGGGTGCGAGGGGCGGCGCGGCGGCTGCGAGGGCAGCAGCTGGAGGCACTGACTCGCGTGGCCCTGATGGAGCAGCGAGTGAAGGAGCTACAGCGCCAGAGGAAGGAGCTGAGGATTGAGGTGAGGCCCAGACCCCTTGGGAAGTCTGGCCCCAACACACAGGGAACCCGCAAGGCCAGGCTGTCAGACCTTTCCTCCTAGGGATCGGATCCTAGGCCCCCAGCCGGTTCTCCCTTCAAATCCAGGTCCCTGGGCTCCATCCTCCCTCCGAATCTAGGAGTTCAGCCCCCCAGGCCCCTCCCTGAGACCCAGCCCTTGCATTCTCTCGGCAGATGGAGGTGGAGGTGGCCCTGCTGCGGGGTGAGCTGGCTGGGGAGCGAGTGGCCGCTCGGCGGGAGGAGGAGCAGCTCCGTGAGCTGCTGGGGCAGCAGGTGGACGCCGAGCGGGGCTGCCGGGAGCAGCGGGAGCGGGTAGGTGTGTTTGGCCCGCTGGGTCTTCATCGTCACTCTCCTTTCTTGCCAGACGGATATTCCTGGTAGTGCTCCTGGCGACCTGGGCGCCAGTATTGTCCCCATTCGCCGAATGGGGACACTTGGTCGGCAGAGAGGATAAGGGGCAGATGCCTTTCCTTGTTTTCCTCCTCCTCCTTTGACCGTGCATTTTGGGTCCTGATTCACAGGGTCCCCTCCCTTTGACCCCTCTCTCTTTGCTCTTTAAATGTCATATTATGAAAAATTTCAAACCTGCGGTCCCCATGTCCTGTGCTTACCAGCTTCGACAATGATTAATCCTCTTCCATTCTTGTTTCATGTTCCCCAGTTTGCTTCCTGGTTCCTAGTTTTAAAAGCCAATCCCAGACATCGTATTGCCTGTACATACTTTGGCCTGTGTCCTTTATAGATAAGAACTCCTTTTTAAAAAAAACAGTATCACTATATCATTATCTCACATTAAGAACTAATAAGTTCTTAGTATCATCTCATTTCTATTCAGTTTTCATGTTTCCCAGATGGTTTCAAAAACTCCATTCATAGGTGGCTTCTTAGAATCAGGTCCCCAAAAGGCCAGTACATTGTAATGGTTGATATGTCTGGTGTGTTTTTTCATCTATAATGTTTCCTGCCTACTATGTCTTCGCCGTACTCTTTGTTGGAGAAACCCAGTCTTCTGTGCCACAGGCAGGATGTGGCTGATTGCATGCGTGTTGTGTCCCTTGATGTGTTCCTCTGTTCCTGCAAGTAGGTGGTTGGTTAGATGTAGAGGCTTGATTAAATCCAGATGTGTTTTTAGTCCTTTCTGAGCGAGTGTCGGGGACATCGTCTCTGTTGTCCAGACCTCGTGAGGTCACTCTGGTGTCTTCTCAAGAATCTTTTATCTAAATATTTTAACATCCATCAGTGGTTATTATTTGAATCGGTTATTATTAGTTGGAAAATGATCACTTTGTAATTTTATCAGTCTTTCTCTTTGCAAGTATATTATATGTTGAAATTTCCTGGGGCTGGCTCCTGGGACCTAATTTACTCTCAAAGAGCCCATCTTTCTCCCAGTACTGATTTCTCTCTTGAAGTCTAGATCTATGTGCCCTCCTTCCTGGGATATCGGCTTCTAGGTATTCCTTTCTCCCTCAGACCCATAAATCTGGGTCCTCAGCCCCTTCTTCCTCAGACCTAGGAATCCAGTCCTCTTGACCCATCCTCCCTCAGACCCAGGAGTCCGGCTCCTTCCCATTCACCATATCCAATGCTGACCTCAGCAGTTCCCTTCTCCACATTGTCTATCTTGCTGTCCCTTTGGTCACCAGGCCAGAGTCCTGGACCTTGCCCTCCACGCCTCCATGTCTCTTACCCCCAGCCTGTCGGTCATCATATTCTGTCCTTCTGCTTCCCTCACCTCTCTCTAGTCCATCTCTTTTCCCTCCCCGCTGGCCAGGCACCAGCTTAGGCCTCATCCTCACTGCTTTGAGGACTCATGGGGGAGCTGGTCTCCACCCCTCTAGCCCATCTCCCAGAGGGACAATCCCAAAGCTAAGTTCTACCCTCTCCTTTCAGTCCTTCCATAGATCCCCAATGCCCCAAGATGAGGGCTCCTCAGGTTGACCAAACCCAACGTGAGCTGCACATGCTGGCCTGGCCACTGTCATCTCCCACCATGCTCCTCATATCTTCCCACCACACCACGTTCTCTTCCATCCTGGCTGGGGGGTGCCCTGGAAACTTTAGTGCATTTGTGCCGTGCTGTTCCTTCTGCCCAAAATGCCCTTCCAGTTCCCTCTCTCTCCCCAGGTCTAAGTGCTTTCTGATTGTTGAGGCCCACCTTAAAATCTCCACATCCAGTAAGACTTGGATTACTCTGGCAGAAATTTCTCCCTTCTCTGGGTTCCCATAGTCTCTGTGTTTCACTGCCCCGATTGTCCCAGTCTGTAACTGGCTGTGCCCCCACCTGGAAGGCAGGGACTAGGTTCAACCCACCTCTGGGTCCTTCTTATCACCCAGCATATACATATTTTGCATTCATTCCTTCATTCGTTTCTTAAACAATTGTTTACTTGGCATCTACTCTGGGGCAGGCCTGTACAAGAGTGAACCAGACAGACAGGGTCCCTGCCCTTGTGAAGCTGGGATCTTGTGAACCCAGGCAGGGGTCTGAGATCTCGCTGGCCTCTGTTTCCCTCTCTGTGCTCATGCTGAGGATGAGAACCTGGTTGTTTTTTCAGGAACTGAGGCGACTGAGTCAGGAGCGAGATCGCATGGAGGGTCTTCGCCAGAGACTACAGGAGGCCCAGGAACAGCTCCACTCACAGCCAGAGGACCAGCGTGAGCGGCTTCTGCAGGGGGTGCAGGAGGTGAGAACCTTCAGACCCTCTCAGGACCTGGTATCCAGGTGCCTCCTCCCTCAGGACCCAGAAGTCCAAGTCCCCAGTCCCCTCCCCCACCAGGACCCAGGAGTCCAGCCCCCCAGCCCCCTAACCCTCAGGACCTAGGTGTCCAGGCCCCCAGCCCCTTCCCCCTCATTGACCAGGAGTCTGGGTCCCAGCTTACTACTTCCCTGGGCTCTAGGGGTCCAGGCCTCCATTCCTTTTGTGTCCCACCCACAGATGAGGGAACAGCTGGATGTGGCCCAGCGTGCCTATGAGGACCTGGAGTTCCAGCAATTAGAGCGGGAGAGCCGGCAGGAGGAGGAGGATCAGGACAGCCTTGGGGCTCAGGCGCCAGACCCCAAGGTTCAGGAGCTGCAGGCCAGTGTGGCACAGCACAGGGTGAGTCCCACAGGACCAGCCCCACCTCCCTGGCCATTCTTCTCTGTCCTCTCCACTCCATGTCTGGCCTTTTCTCTATCCTCATTTCCTGCCTGTGTCATGTTCTTCAGAATAGGAACAACAATAGCTGACATTTATTGAACATTTACTATGCATCTGACATCGTCCTAAATGTTTCGTGAGTATTTACTCATTAAATGAAGAAACTGAAGGTCAAAGGCGCTCAAGTAATCTTTTCCAAGGTTACTTAGTTTGTTGGCGATGGAGCTGGGTTTTGAACTTACTCAGTCTTTACCACTACGCTCTCTGCCTCTCAAACCCTAGTCCAAAAAGACGTTCCCAGTAGATCCTTTCCAGGAGCTTTATGTCAAGGGTCTGACAAGTCCTGTGGGAAAAAAGGGACATGTTTAACAATATTTAACACAAAATTTCTGAAAATTTTGCATTAGAAAGTTCCATTGTGGGTCTCCTTTCCTCACCTCTATTTCTGGATCTTTTTCTGTCCCTCTCTCTTCCCTTCCTCTGTCTCAGACAGTTTCTGTCTGTCTCTGTTTCATTTCTATCTTGTCTCCTTTCTCCGCATCTTTCTCTACATCTCTTTCTTTCTGGGTGTTTCTTATTCACTGTTCTCCGTATCTCTTCTGGCTTGTCTCTCTCTCTGTGCCTTTCTCTCCATCCCCTCCAATCCACCCCAGATGTCTTCTGGACCCCCATATGGGAAGAGGGCAGCAGGGAGGTTAACTCTGAGTCCCCTCCCTGGTCATTCAGATCCCATGGCCCCTGTGAGGGGTGGAGAAAACCCCAGGCTCTCAAGGAGAGCCTGGATATGAGGGAAGGTGAGCCTGTAGAGCCAGCTGGGGTCCCTAGGGCAGCTGAGTAACCAGGGCAGGGGGGTGCCTACAGCGCCGGATCCAGGTCTTAGAGGAGCAGCTCAAGTTGCTGGGGGAGCAGATGGCAGCTGAGAGCCGAGGGCTGAGCCAGAAGAAGGAGGAGGCCCTTCGGGCACTGAGACAGGTGAGTCCCCTGGGAGATCCGCCCTGCCTTTTCACTTCCCCCGGGGTACCCACCACCTCCCTGGCATCAGGGAAAGCTGCTGGGGTGGTCCATTCAGAGTCTGGGATGTGGTAGTCCATGATGTCTTTGCCTAGGAACAGAGCCGACTGCTTGAGCTCAATGGCCTCCAGGGAACACCCGGTGGGGACTTCTCTGAGCCCAACCAGGCTCTCACTAAGGTATGCAGATTTCATGCACCTGTCCGTTCCTCTTCCCTTAGACCCAAGAGTCCAGATCCCCAGCCCTTCCTCCCTCAGACCCAAGGGTCCACACCCCCAGTCCCCTCCTCTCTCAGACTCAGAGGTCCACAACCTCAGCCTCCTCCTCCCTAAAACTCAAGGGTCCATGCCCCCAGCCCTTTCCTCCTCAAGGAACCAGCAGTCTCTGCCGACAGTCCTCACTCATGCTGGGAGACTGAACACGAAGGACCACATTCTAGCTGTCTTTGTGACCAAGCCTTTGTTTTTCCATCTGAGGAATGGGCTGGTACTGGAGACATGGGCCAGAGTACCTGGGAACTGGCAGTTTCTCTATGCTCCCTACAGCTCTCATTAACCTTCATGTCCTCTCCACAGCTACTCTTCACCCAGAAGACAGACCGCCAGCTGCTGGTGCTCCAGGACCCCACCGCTCACACTGCTGCCACCTCTACCTCTTCCTGCCTCTTCTCCATTCACAGCTCCCTGCAGGTGCCTCCACTACGGCCCCATTTTTCCATGTGTCTCACTGGTCAGTGGGGAAGGAGGGGATGAGAACAGAGCCCCAGCACTGGGGTCTTCAGAACTTCCACTGTGGCTTTCTCTGCTGGGGGACAAGGAGGAGATAGGGAAGGTTGATCAAGGTGTATTTTTTTTTTTTTTAAAGATGACCAGTAAGGGGATCTTAACCCGTGGCTTTGGTGTTATCAGCACCACACTCTCCCAAGTGAGCCACGGGCCTGCCCTATCAAGGGGTATTTTTATCAGACTTTAGCTTTATTATTATTTTTTTCTTTCTTCTGCCTAACATCTCACTCATCCCCTGGAAAAATGGGAGCATGTACACCAGGAGTAGATTTTAAAAGCAACCAAACAGGGTACATTGATAAGGTCTCCTCTTCCCACTCCCTAGTGGCCCATAGGCCCCTTCCCCAGAAGCCGTACCATCCCAGATCTTCTTAAAACTGGGGGTCCCAACTTATTAACTAATGTTTAAGATGTTCATTGAGTGAGTTGGTTGCTATTAATTTTTTAAAAAATGAAATAGAGTAGAAAATATCAGAGTGCTATATGCATGAAGTAGGAGTGAACATTAGATGAGAAAAGTTTTGTTTCAGTTGTGTGGGTATGTGGTAAGAAATTGGTAGCTCTTGTTATATCATGCCACATATTTTTCAAAAATGTGTATATTAGGCGTTTGTTGGCTTTTTCTTTTTAACTTTATCATGGAGATTGTTTTCTATTGATACATTTAGAGCTGCCTCATCATTTTTAATGATTCCAAAATTTTATCATGGAGATTGTTTTCTATTGATACATTTAGAGCTGCCTCATCATTTTTAATGATTCTAAAATAGTAGGGCCGGCCCGTGGCTCACTTGGGAGAGCGTGGTGCTGACAACACCAAGTCAAGGGTTAAGATCCCCTTACTGGTCATCTTTTAAAAAATAAAAATAAAATAAAATAGTAATAATATAAATTAACAATAATAATAGTAACAGCTATTGAGTCCTTATAGTGTTCCAGGCACTGTTATAGCACTAAGTGCTTCACATGGATTCACATGGATTTTGTCTTTGCAACATCTCTATGAGCTACGTTCTTATCTCCATTTTTAGGTGAGGACACGGAAGCAGAGAGGTAAAGTTGAATAACCAGGCAGTATGTGGCCAAGCTGGGATTTGAACCCCAGCACCCTTTTGCAGTGCCTACATTCTTAATCACTCTGGGCTTCTGTGTGGGGATGTCGAGATGCCCTCCCTCTGCAGATGGTGATTTGAGTGTTTTGCCGTTTATCTGGTGCTGTTAAGAACACCTGTATGAGGGCTGGCTGGTTAGCTCACTTGGGAGTGTATGGTGCTGATAACACCAAGGTCAAGGGTTGGATCCCCGTACCAGCCGGCCAGCCGCCAAAAAAAAAAAACCCAAAAACAAGAAAAGAATACCTGCATGTCTGTGTGTACACACGATAATAATAATATTCATATTAATTTTCACGAATATTATGATATAATATTGTTGTATAATATACAATATAATTATATATTGTATGTTATTTCTTATTTACTAATTCATATTAACATTTAAAATTAATTCTGAAATATTTATTTATTAATCCATATTAACAACAATAGTCATTTTTTTAGCATTTAATATAGGCTAGGGTCTGTTCTAAGCCATTTTATCACTTTGAACCACATAGAATTGCTATTATTTGAAGGCAAGAAACAGCCAAATACTGGCATTTCAGATGGTTCAACCTAGTATATAGGATTTCATTTTTTGCTTGGAAGAAGGTCCATGGTAGGTCCTATTATTATTTAGGAAAGGGTTAACAGCTGTTCTATATAGGACATTAACTTTCTAGCTGCTTCCCCTGGAAACCTGATAAAGGTGGAGTGCAACTATGTTGCCAGGCAGCATGACTTAGGATAATAATGACCCTTCCTAGTAAATTGCATATCTGTAAATACTTGATGGGAAGCCGAGTCTATTCCCATGGAGTCATCATCCGAGTTATTGGCTCCTGTGGACATGAGGCATCTAAGGCCAGGTGGACCCTGTTCCTATGGGATCTCATCTCCTTTCACCTGGGTGTCACCTGGGGGCCAGATACAGGACCCTGGACACTTGTTGCTGTGCCAGGTACTCTTCTATGTGCTTTGCATGAGGTCACTCATTTAAGCCTCGCGACAACCAGGGAAGGGTGGGTGGGACGTTATCCACTTCATGAGTACAGAGGGGAAACCTAGCTTGAGAAGAGAAATAACTTGCTGACGGCACACACCCAGTAAGTGGCAGAGGTGGGATTTGAACCCAAGTTTGCCTGTTTCCATGACCTGCACCGTATGAGAGACAAAAGTTTCCCAGGAATCCTTCAGAGTCCAGGTGGGCCCCATATTAGCATTAGTTCAGAGGGGGTGTCTTGGGACCCCAGGGTATGTAAAGAGCACAGAGAGCATTTATTTACTCAGTGAGATAAATAGTAAGTACATGAATACATGAATGCATGGATTAACAAATTACTCTTCCTTGTCCCTTCCTCTCTCTCCTTCCAAGTCCTATTAAATCCCTCTCAAATTCTACCCCTTCTTTCCAGGATTGTGTGATGCCTCAGAGTATTGATTCTGCTTGGATTCAGATACCTGTTCTGCCACTTCCTAGCTGGGCAAATTTGGGCACTTCTCTGTGCCTCAGTTTACTTAGCTGCAAAATGGGAATAATAGCAGCATTCATTGGTTAATGCATTAAAGTGCTTAGCATGGTGCCTGGCACATAGCAGGTGCTTAGTGAATGTGGGTTGCTGTTACTATGATTATAATTACAATTATTCGTATTATTAT